CTCCACCCCACCTGGAGGCCATGGTGTTGGCGGTGTACATGCCGCCACACGCGCCGGCCCCGGGGCAGGCGTGGCGCACCGCGTCGGCGCGCTGCTCCTCACTCCACAGGCCGGCGGCGTACGCACCTGCGGGGTTGGAGTCGGGTCCGCCAGAGGTGATGAGTACGATGGGACGCAGTTGGGAATAAGCAGCTGTACAAACGCCGCCGAGGCAGGCAGCAGGACGCCGACAGTTCAATCCAATTCCCGCTTTGGTAGACTGCGCACCCAGCCCGTCTTCGCTAATGCTGACCCGCTGCTAGCAGGACTTGGATGAGTCTGCCGAGCTCCCCCTCCAAACAACCCGACCCCCGGGTCTTATTCCCAAAGCCATCCCCAACACGTACACACACCCAACTACACACACACACACACACGCATGCATAATCAACAAACAAAAACACACACAAACACACACCCAATAAACACGTGGTGCCCCCCCCCCACACACGTGCGCACGCTTGCTGACACGGGCGTGCGCATACACACACGCGCGCACCATAGCTCTGGAAGGCGCTGACAATGTCGAGGACGGAGCCGTCCAGCACGCTGTGGCCCGGCTTGATGGTGCCACCATACACCATGATGGCCGGCCTGCATTGATTATACATCATATGACGTCACATGGGCGTGGGGTGGGGTGGGGTGGGGTGGGGCGCAATGGGATGGGATGGGGTGGGGTGAGAGACTGGGGGTTGTGTAGCGGGGTCAAGACAGACTGCGTGGGTGCACGAGAATGTGCTCGCGTGTGTGTGTGAGATGTGTGGTCATTGCATGCTTGCACATGTGTGTGTGGATTGCGCGTATGTGGATGCGCAAGTCCGTGTGTGTGCGCGTGTGCATTTGTGTGCTTGTGCTTGTGAGTGGGGGTTGGTTTGGATGCGTCATATGTGAGAGGGGGGGTGCCTGCTGACCTGTTTAGGCGAGCCATGGCGATGACAGACCCCGGCATGTTCTTGTCGCAGCCGGGCAGGGACACGTTGGCGTCGTACCACTGCAGTTGGTTGAAACTGGGTGCTTCAGGGGCCGGGCAGGGCGGGGCGGGCGGCGGCGGGGCCGTCCGGCGTCCAACTGTTTCGGTGCCTGGAGCTGAGAGCCCGGTCTGACACGTCGCGCCGCCCCCTGTCGCCTGGTTGAGCCCCGCCTGCATCCCTTCAACAAGCTGCTGCGTGATAGCTCTGCCCTCCCCATGCCAGCTGCATGCCGTTGTCACTCTCGGGCACCATGCAGGGCCAGGTCATTCGGCCCTGCAACCGGCAGCCCGCCCCTGCCCCTGGCCCCACCTGTGCGCTCATGACGGTCTCAATGCTGTCGGCGATGAGGTCGCGGCTCTGCAGGCTGAACGACATGCCGTCTGCGCGCGGCCGCAAAGCAGGGAGTGAGACACAGGGTTGACCTTGAACGTGAGCATGGGACGCGTCAGCATGGCTGCCGTTGCGCACGTTCAGGCGGGGCAGCCGCGCAGCAGGCGCCAGCGCCCTGGCGTTCTGTCGCATACTGCGATTCTCCCACAAATTCAACTCCGCGCGCCACGTCAGCGCCACGTCAGCGGCGGCCGGCTCACCCGTGCCCATGCTGATGCCGTCGCTGACGCCGATGGTGTTGAAGCGGTACCCGACCAGACCCACCTCCTCCTGCGGGGTTTGCCAATGAGAATGAAATGCCAATCACAACAACATGAACCAAAGGCGAGGGCTGGCGTGAGGGCCAGACGAGGCGCCGCGGCGATGTGCACGGGTCGTGATACGCGCAGCTTGCTCGTCAAAGTGCAGCGAACAACACGCTGAAAAGCTCCAAGCTGCATCTGCCGTTTTCCACACCGCTGCGCCAGCTGCCTGCAGCTATGGTTGTTCAGAACTCAAGCCGACGCGCCCAGCCGGCGCCGGCCCAGTAAGCATTCGATTATGGTCGTTGTCAAAACATTGACCGGCCGGTCAAACGTCCGTTCCTCTGCACGCACCACTCCCTTCTTGACCTCCTCAGCCAGCTTGAGCAGGTGCATGTTGCAGGGGTTGCCCTCATACCACATGGAGGCGATCCCAACCTGGGGGTGACGGCCGATGACGTCATTGCTGGATGAGTCAGGGGTATTCAGGACTGCACCACTTTGCTTGACATTGCCGTGAGTGGCATGTGGCAGGTGGCAACTCCGGCGTTTGAAGCATCCTGCAGATGAGGCCGGAGTGCCTTCTACCATCATCAGTACCTCCTCCCGGACTGCATCGGCAGCCACCAAAGAGCCCGCTGCCACGGAGCAACTCCTATTCTGCCGTCCTCAAAGCAAGGCTGCATGTCTGCACTTTGAGTCACCCCACCTGAGGCTTGCTCATGTCAGACTCCTTCAGGCCTGCAGGATGCATGTGTTGATTTTGCGTATGTAACAGAATGACAGAATCCATCAAAAATCCACGCGTATCAGGGCAACAGCCCGTGACCTCTGCGCGCAGCTGCTGCCTTGGTGCGTGGGCGCACGGCAGCCCGCGCGTGCAGCCTGCCCAGTTTGAAATAAGTGTTCAAGGTTCACGCGGCCTGGTGCCGCACGCTGGCCGTCATCGACCGCTAGCAGCGCCGCTGCGCTCGGTGTGGCCACGCAGAGGAGAGTTCGTGGGCGGCGGCAGGCACTCCCAGACCGCGCACCAGTGGCGTAGAGCATCGCCTGAGACGCGCCCTGGCTCTTGGGCTGCGTGATGCGCGAGCTCCACTTGTTGAGGCCTACATGACGAGCAATTGCATCAGCTTATGATAGCGCAGCCAAGGTGTCCAATAGGGGGCTTCTGCCGCGAGGGAGGTGTTTCATAACCATGACGGTGGCCTGCCTCACACTCTTCTGTTGCTACAGGCGCGGCGGCCGGCCGCGCGTTGCAGCGCTACGCGGCCTGCCGAGGGCCTGGCCTCCCTGTGGAACTGGTACAAACTATCGTGATACTCGCAAGCCATTGAATGGGCCGTTTTACTGCTCATAACCGGCTCTCGGTACCAGGTCAGATCGCCTGCAGCCGTAGCGGTGCACAAGAGGCCCGCTCGCCACAATGGCTGTGCTATGACCAATACTACGCGTTATATCTCGCACCTTCAGGCACGTCCGACGCCGCTGCAACGCGCACACACCGGGTGCGGCTGATCGAGACATTGGGTTGGGCCCTGGCCCCAGGGGCCGCGGTATGCTGACGAAGAGACCGCATGGTGACGTGTTGATAAGGCTGAACACAGGGGCAGCCCGTGTTCTTTGCGCTGACTTTGCATGCCCGAGAAGCTGAGGGGTAGGTGGGGCCTTCGATTGCCTTGGCGAACTGTTTGTCCAGTGTTTGGTGCGTATTACGTTCCGGAAAGCTATTCATAATTGCTAGTATCCTAGATATGGCGTCCCATCTGCGCCCTGGTTGGGCAGCGGGGTCGAGTACAGTCGAGGGGCGCCCTTCGAGCCTACTCATGGCGTGCCGTGCGCTCGGGTGAGTGGTGTAAATGCCTGTATACATGTGGGAGTCTGCTGATGGTGCGGGACAGCGGGCGGCGGCCACCCCGTCGTCGCAGCGTGTGCACTGCCGCAGCCGCCTGACTTGCCGTCGCTCGCACCGTGCTGGCCCACTCACGCCTTACGTGCATGGCATGGTCTAAGCAAATGATTTGTAAACCACTGCGCAATGTACAGGCTCGGGCGTCCCCTCGGCGCACGGTGCGTCGCGGGAGCCACGCAACCACAGCGCCGCTTAGCCGCCCCAGGCACTGGCGGCGCCCAGCGCGCGGCCGGGCGCGGCGGGGCCGCCGCCAAGGGCGGCCGCTCCAGGAAGCTCGATAAGCCTCCCCC